AACAGCCTTCCAGAACTAAAACAGACTTCAGAAGACTCTCATACAATCCCAAGGAATCTTTATCAGTTCTGCATGTTAGCAAAGTTGGCATTTTTCAAGAGCAACAGATGCTACCAATCACCAGCTTCACAAATAAAGAAACACAGCTGCCTCAAAATGCAACGGGCCAACATTCAAACACCCCATACCAGAACAGGGAGCAATTGCATTTTGCTGCAGGATCACCTAGGGCCAAAAGAGATTAACAGCAGCGAGAAACCCAGCCCCAGTAGATCAGCATCCATCCTGCTAAATATTGGAAAGTTCAACTTTTAGCAAGAACTTCCAATATGCCCCTATGAAGCTACAGTATTATTCCTGCCATACAAAACAGCATTCAGAGAAAAGCTATGAACACTTGCACTCTTCCATAGGGGACAGAAGGAAAACCTACAGCAGTGGGGCTGCTTGAACTTGAGTGTACAAGGTACAGAGAATCATTTGTTTCAGAGCTGGTATACTACAGCACACCAAAAATCAACTGCTTCCACCTGTGAGTTTCTTTCAAGTATTTCTCCCTTCTTCCTTCTAATAACTATCTCATCTGAAACAACTATACCTCATTAGTCCTAAGGCTGCATTCACTTGCCATTGACAAAGGCACTGAAATGTTTAAACTGGGGAACATCATTGCCAGGTGAGCAACCATGTTCTTCTGTTCAGCTGTCTTCTAACAGTCAAGAACAGAAAGCAGAACAGGTGCCACAGTCCAGAAAGCAGCATGCAGTCAGAGTGATCTTACAGAAGGTTTCCTACATGAATTCCTACATGAACCATATACAACCAACAGCAGTGCTGTTTGCATGGTCATTTGGTACCACCAACTGAAACATTCACCTCTGGAGTCCCATCCCCACCATCTCTCAAACACTCCTGATTCCAGCACAGATCTGTCATGTTACACCATCACCCACCATACCAACACTCAAACAGAAGCCCCTAGGATAGCAGAAAACTATTCACCTCTGCAGCTGCAGTACAGTGCAAAGCTTTGATAAGCTTATGAACAGAGTGAAGACAGGGAAAGCCAATAATCAACAGGAACGCAACTCAAGTACTGCTTACTGGTATGCATTTTCAGAACACTTCCATTTTTCTTCTCAAATACACACCCAGGGCAACACAAAACAAGTTGGTAGCAAAGCTGCCTGTAGTGTCTGTTCCTCAGTTTTGCCCTTGTATTACAAACAAGGTCTTGGGAGCTCAGTTCCCCCAGTCATGTTTATCAGCAACAATTAGTACACTATACAAATAAGTGACTTAACTGAGCAGAGAAGTGTGTTGTGCGGGTCTGCATAACCAGCAGCTCAGCTGCTGCAGCAGCCATTCACAATTGCAGCCATTCATTAGCATTCCTGGAATACAGCCTGCCCAGCTCGAGCTGGTCAGATATCTCTGGAAGGCGATCGACACCCCGCTCCTTTTCCAGCACTCCCGTAATATCTTACCCCCAGAGTCTGCCAAGCATGTAGGAGGTTTGCCCAAGCTCTCTCAGTAACATTCTTTCAACACACAGACATATTTCTTTTCCCCCAAGGGAAAAAAAAAAAAAAAAAAAAAAACAACACAAAGCCAACTGAAATGTGACGCTTGTCAACTATGAATTTGGGCATTTGGACATGAAGGTGAAAGAACAACTGATGGACACCAACCCTGAAGCACAGCTACTGAAGGCCTGCCTGACTTGGATCCCACTTCTGCCTGCTTTCACAGTATTTGCCAGATAACAAACTCAAAGTGCACTGCAAGGCTCACAGCTGCCTCCCTGAGAACACTATTTCCCAGATTCTTGGACACTGCTGTTTACTCTGCTTATAGCCACATTTAGAGAGGAAAAATCAAGTCAAGTCACTCTGCAGATCTTTCATAATTAGTACAAGATGTATTTCTGATGTATTTCTTCTTAATATCTTAGCAAATTAATTGCATAAACTAAATAGCACAGCTCTGCTTCTTAAAAGAAGACTGAGATGTGTCCCAGGTACTTGTTTTTTCCCCTTCAGACCCCACTTCCCTTCCAACCACCTTGATAAGATTTCACAATTACCCAATTCTGCATCACTCAGTGGGTAACAGACTACCCAAAGCGGGAAATCAAAGGATTTTAGGCAAAATGCCTTGCAAAAAATTCAGTTCTACATCTTCGGATCGATAAGACAGAATAATTCTACCTTAGATACAGAGCAATTTTTAAAACAGACAGGAATAACACAAAGAACTTTTCTCAGATGAGAAGCTGCTTCTCCTAACTGACCTCTGCCCCTCACTGCAGTTCTCAGTTTGCTGCAAAGAAAGCCCCTCCTTGAACTAGCATTCCTTTAGTGGAGTCCCTCTTCAAATTCCAAATGCGGAGCGATTTACTAGATGAAGATACTCAGAGCTATATGGCGCTCCTTTGTGAATTTTAGAAGATGACCATAAGATTAATCCACGCAAATTCAGTTCCAAGTATGTAATGAATGCTTTAATACAGGAGAAGGTGTGAAAAGAACTGCAGACACCTGCCTACACACCAGTCCACCCTCCTGGCAGGTACACACTAGGGCTGAAAGGAAAAACACTTTCCACAAAATTTCTAGCTCTCACAACCACAGAGTAAATCCTCTAAACAAAGCCAAGTGCTCACTTCCTGAACCTGCAGGCAAAGCAGTGACTCACGGTGGGCCAACTCCCTTTGTGCCTTATTAGTGTTATCAGTGTCAACCCTCAGCCTATTAATGACACTTGAAGGTCTTCATTAACTATTTCACCGCTGATTTCAGTCCATAAAGCAACTGGGAACATGCCCATAGGAGTAATGGTGTGGTTTAAACATCTGGAAAGAAAAAAAAGACAAAAAGAGCAGACAAGCAATGGTTTTGCAATAAGGCCTTCTCAGCAAGTAAAGCAAATAAAGTAGTAAAGCAGCACCCAAAAAGCTGCTGGGTTTTCCTTTTCTCCTTGGTCTGAAACCAGTGGAAGTCAAGCTGCTTCCTGAGGGAAGAGTTTGAGAGAGGTGAGAAATAAGCTTTGAACTACATCTGCTACCTTGTGTGATGTGTAGGCATGTTCAGAGTGAGCTCTCCTTGCCTTCCAGCATCCCTAAAGAAAACTTCCAGGCCGGCAGAGCCTCCCTGCCACACAGCTCCACTCTGTGTCACTCCAGCAAACAGCGAGCCTTTATCTCCCAGCACAGAAGCACCCAACAGAGAAGCCTGCATTTCTCCAAAGATAACCACAAGTTGATTTCTCTGCTGCACATCACAGCACGGCATGTATAGCAAACACAGCACACAGCAGCTGTTCCTGTTCCTCGCTGCTGGCTCTTGTGGCCATGCTTCCAGAAGCACTTCCTTAGAAACTAGCACTGTATGAAACAATTCTGCAATTCTTCAAAACAAAAATACAAAAATAATTTTAAAAACAGCACTGCTCAGGATATGCTGTCAAAGGCCTGTTCCACTAGTGCCCACCAAGTGTCCCACCTGCTGGTGAGTTCTCCTTATCACGACATGAAGCGATGCATTTGGCACAGTCACGACTGTTACTATGAATTATAGAAACATCTGGGATTACAGGCTATGCAAAATGAACATCAGCCGTTAAAATCACTAAGATTATTTCCCTTTGTATATCAGGACATTAAAAAGTGACCAGTTTGAAATCAAACCTCCTCAGCACAAAGAAAAGTTGGTCAGCAACCTCCTGAAGGCAGGCACACTCAGCTGCATCCTGGCAGCTAGCTAAAGCTGTACTGCTTTCACTGGAGCACAGCTGCCCACAGCACCGCTTCTGCTTGTATGAACGCCTTAGCAGAGCTACTGCCCCAAAGCTGCAGCGAGCACAAGGCCTGCATCACCACAGACACAATTCTTAATGATTTGCTTGAGGTGCCTTCTCCATCCTATGCCCCACCCCCATATACGCAGCAGCTTTACTAAAAGCACTCCAAGAAACACTGAGGACATTATCTTACAGTCTGACATTCTTTCCAGGTGAGGGAAAGCCTATAGGACAGTTTAGCACATCAGAACTTCCCATAATGCTGTCATTCCTATCTCTAAAAACAGGAACAAGAATATCCCCACTCATGTTTTATTCCTCCAAATTGCAGTAAATCCAGCAAAAAATGGCAATGATATTAATTCAATACTCAAATGCTGCTTTCTCTGGAAGTTCTTCCTGAAAGGAGCAGTCAGCTCAGAGCCAGTGCCGCACTCAAGCGCAGTCTGCAAGGCCCGTGAGGACCAAAGAACTGGGTGCTCCCTCTCTCAGGTCCCTGGTGAGTTTGCTCACATTACGTGTTATACTGTAAAAATCCGTTCCTACTTTCCAACTAAGAAAGTGGTTGTTTGAGGTTGTACTTTTCCACTGTGTCGACATCCTCACCCAGAGAAGCAGCGTTAAGTGGTAGTCATTTCATTCAAAGATTATCGCTAGACCTTCCACTACTTTAGCACATCACATATACCCAGCTGCAAGCACTCTCCTTACTGACATGATACAAAATGAAAGTTTACCAGCAGGGTAAGAAAACAGGACAGTGCCAGCAGCATGCCATGTTCTCCAAGGCACCTCACCTGACAGCCCTAGGACAGCAACGCTCATCTTTAACAGGGCAATGCAGCGGTGGAGCGCTACTTTAACCCTGCTGTCATTTGCCTGTTTCACAGTAAGCTCAGAGGAAAGGAGTGAACAGACTTCCTCACACTGTGAAGATGTAGGAGGGGTGACTGTTCTCAGTCTGTCTTTGATTCAGAGATTACATTACTTGTGCACTAAGCAGCTTTACAGCCACTTTCTGCCAGCTTTCAAGAACAAGAAATACAAAGCAGTTTTTAGGCAAGCAGTAAATTGTACACTTCAAAGAAAACTCTACAATTTCAGTTAAGACATTGAAAATAAGAACTCTAAAAGCACTGACAACAAAGACCATTTTCTTAAGAAAAGGTATTTTTATAGTGTTTTAAAATAATTCATACCTGTCTTCATCGCCATCAACAGGAATAGATATGCCAAACACAGAGCTGGCAAGACTGTTCATGGGAGTACTTGCAGGTAACTGAAGAGGATTTGCTAGAGTGTCTGCAACAGGAGGCTTCACAAGAGGTTTAATTTCAGCTGTAAGAGAAAGTGGTGGCTGAGGTAGGGGTTCCGATTTTCTTCTAGTATCATCAATCTGGCCTACTACAGATTGAGCAGGAGCCTGAAACTGTCCGAGGTTCGACTGTGACAGATTTGTAGGTACATTAGGTGCACCTTGTATCAAGGAGTGCCCGACATGCTGCTGCTGCTGCTGGACAACACCGGTACTTCTGCTGACAGAAGTGTGGCTAGGCAGCTGTGACTGAACCAGAGTAACAGGGACGTTTGGCATAGTAACAGAAGTGGTAGACACACTAGGCACACTCGTACCGGGCACAACTGCAGGCACGTTCTGAACTCCAGAAACCACGGCATGGGGAGCACCAGGCATTCCAGACACTTGACTGCTTCCACTCATTTGATGCTGAGTCACAGATTTCTGTTGCACAACCCCTGCATGCCCAATTCCTTGCTGCACCACACCTCCTGGCTGCTGGACAGCAGTCTGACCAGCCTGCGTCTGGCCACTTTGCATAATTCCTGATCCCTGTGCAACTGCTTCACCTGGCTGCGCTGGCACCCCCATCACCGGTGCTCCCCCAGGTGAAGGGCTCAGGCCAGCCACCTGTCCCACAGGCAGGTTGGAGGCCGCCGTACTTGGAACAGAGCCTGCAGGAGCCTGCTGAATAGCTCCTTGCGGCTGCATAATTGTCATGTGCTGCATGTATTCAGACTGACCAGAAGGTTGCGTTGGCAGTAGGTGCACCGGTGGAATCTGGGATTGAGAATAAGTAAATTGTTGAGGCTGAGTCACTGGTACGCTCGCTTGCTGCGCCTGCTGCTGTGCCGCAGGAATGCTTGGCTGGCCCATCGTTACATTTGGAGGTGCTATGCCTTTTCCATTGGGTCCAACCTGCGCAACGCTCTGCGTATTTACCTGTGGCTGTGATTGCTGTGGCACCATTATCTGCTGATTTGCTACCGAAGCTCCAGAAAACATAGACTGAGCAGTACTTTGAGGCATGGCCCCACCTATGGGTTGTTGCGACTGCTGTTGTTGCCCAATGACAAAATTAGGTTGCTGTAGAGAGGCCTGGTTTGTCTTCTCTGTCTGGAGCAGCTGTGACACAGCAGGAAGGGAACTGTCAGCTATGGAATCAGGGCCATGTGCCGACGCTGGCACAGCTGAGACGACAACAGAACCCCCTGTGGCACCGAGCCCACTGTCCCTCTCTTGAGCAGCCTGCTCAAAGGTGCTGCTGTGCCTAATGCAATCTCCAGTCCTGCCCAAGACAGTACTGCCATCAGAGTCCCGGTCATAATACTCCATACAAGTCCATCGTCCTCGCCTGTAGGGTTCCCCAGTTCCGTGATCCAGCTTGATCACCCTGAAACGTGAGCTGCATGCAGCAGCCACTGTCTGAGCCATTGTCCCAGGCGCAGCAGGCGCAGAAGGCCCCGAGGGGGGCAAGGCAGGTTGAGCACCGGTGGCAGCACCGGCAGCTGGCAGGGGCACGGCAGAGCTCTTGGGCACGGCCCCCCCATTTGGGACCACTGCTGGTGGCACAGCAGCTCCCCCACCAGCAGCTGCAGCCAGCTGCCCATCCAGGAGGAGGTTGGGAGAGACACTGCTGGGAGTTTCAGCCTCACCCACGTTGTTGAGAGTTTCTTCAGAGGAGCTCCGCTCACAGACATCCTCGGGGCCATAGTCGGTGGCTCGGGAAACATCAAAGATTTCAGAAGACACATCCTCGGTGCGGGACTCATCCGGGTCATCCAGGCTCTCCGTGTCCTCGGTAATGCTGCTGGCCACCTGCGCCGTGGTCACGCTGGTGATCTGGAAGCAGCTCTTCTTCTTGGCCGGCATCTTGGACATGCTTCCCCCGCTCGGAGGGGCCGGGCCGGCCAGGTCGGGGGAGCGCGGCCCACCACGGGCTGTCAGGGCGCGCGGGCCGACTCCCGGCCGCTACCGTACATCCTCCGGCGGCTTCCTGCGGCGGGCGGCGGGCCGCGGCGCTCCTCCCCTTCCTCCCGGCCCGCAGCCCTCCTCCCGCCGCCGGGACGCGGCTCTCCTCCCCGCCGCGGCCCTGCTCCGAGCGCGCCGCGTGGCTTCCTGCCGGCCGAGAGGGGGAGGGGGCGGCCGCAGACGCGAAGCCGCGGCCCGCCCCGCGCGAGGGGCCCCGCGGCGGCCGGGCGAGGCCCAGGCGGCCCCGCGTCCCCCCGCCCTGCTCCGCGCTCTACCTGGAGACCAGCGCCAGACGCATCTCGCTCGGAACCGGCCCGCAGGCGAGCCCCGGGCGGAGGGCCGGCTCGGCGGAGGCGAAGGAGGAAGGACGAGCGAGGCCGGCCCCTCCGCGACGGGCGGACGCAGCCGTCCCGTCACTCCGCAGCGGCACCGGCAGGCGCGAGCTCCGTCTGTGCCCCGCTCGCCCAAGATGGGGCTCAAGTTCTGCCGCGCTGCATGCCGGGAGGGCACCCCGCCCCCCCACGCTCGCCGCGATGACGTCACGCGCAGCCCGGGCATTCGTTCCGGGAGGGAGGGCGGAGGGGGCGGGGGAAGGAGGGGGGGGGCCGCAGGTCGCGGACGGGGCGGGCGGCGCCCCCTAACGGCGTGGAGGTCCATCTGTCCCTTCCGTGCTATTTTCCAGAGTGGTGCCTTCTCCAGCTTCAGCGGAGGTTAACTGCCACTGCACCAGCAATCCAAGAACCCACTGGTGTTACAAGAGTTCGCACGCGCCTGGCTGAGCCCGGTGCGTTTGTTAGGCTCAGGTGTGCAGATGGCCTCAGCCCGGGGCGGATGCATTCCCCCTGTTTGTTTTGAGGTCCTCATCACCTCTGAGCCCCAGCAAGGAAATGCAGGGAAGGTGTTCAGATTGCTGTCCACGTGTACTGTTGGCGTGCTCTGATCACACACACAGTGTCGCAGGACTTTGTGAACGGACCTCTGGAACCTCCCAGCAGTTTCCTACAGCAGCAGCACAGCAACGTGTCCCGGTGGGTTTGGACATCTCCACAGAACGAGACTCCACACCTCCCCGGTCAGCTTGTGCCAGGACTCTGCCACCCAACAGCCCTATATTTCAGGACCTCACAACCTCTGCCCATGAACGTTCGGTTTCATGTTTCATCCCATCGCACCTCCTCACTCCTCTGGGAGGAGTTCTGCCCACCCAGGTCTCCATTTCTTTGCATGTTGCCATTGCTTTCACCACCTGGTGAGGCAGCCCTGGTACCACTGTGCAGGCAGCTGGCAGCGTCACTTGACCAAATGTAGGAGAATAGCCAGAGGTTTTCCTCCATTAGCCTCAGATCCACTTTTCACAGTCTGTGACCTTGCAGATAATGAACCCACATTTTCAGCATCCTCTGTGCAGAGGACCATCCCTGTACCACAGACTCTTACAAGCCTCAGGGTCTGCCCTTCTGCAAAGCACTCTGTGTGGCACTGCCTCACAGCTTCTGTACAGCACCCCAGGTCTCCCTGTCTGCCTGCATACAATGTGCCAGGACTGTTTTCTTCTCTGCTTAACACTTTCTCTCCTGCCTAGCTTTCTTTGTGTTACTATGAACCTCATTCTGCATTCCGTTTCAATTTGTACTTGATCATCCCTCATTATTTCCTGCCTTCATATCCTTCCAAACCCACCTTCTAGAATTTCTTTGTTCTGCATATGTTAGAAGATGATGGGCTGACAGTGCTGTAGCCTTTTTCCTCCTTGCTGATTTTGAATTCCTATCTGAGCTCCATTTCTAATTCTTGGCTCTCCTTCTGATAGAAAGGAGCTTTTACTCCTGGTGATGTGTTCTGCCAGGCAACACCTTCTGGAACAGCTTCCACCAGGTTCCCACTGGAGAATAAAGCATATTCTTTATCTTCTGCTTGCTGCCATCTGTTTCACTTCCTCTAGCCCTCTGATTGAGTCTGCATTCTTAGGACTCATCTTTCCTATTAAACTCTGGATTTGAAGAGGAAAAAGACAATTCCCCAAACTTCCCAAACAATTCCTCCCAACTGAGTTCCCTCCAACATACATTCCTTTGTTTTCTGCACCTTCTTTACAGTATGATTTCACATACACCAACATTAGAAAGAAAAGGTAATGCACAAAGTACAGTATATTTTAAAATGCGGAATATCATCTCAATACCAAATTATAATGTTTAAATGTTAATTTTCAGCATAAGAAACACGTTATGTCCATGAGAGTGTATTTTTGACATGGTGTCAAACCTTAATGGGTGTCAGACCTTAACCTTGCCATTAGTGCAGGAACTGTTGCTCCTTGCTCTGCAAGCCAACCAGGTATCATTTGACACAGGAAAGGAACTCTGTATTGGAGGAGTCCACTCTGTGAACTGTGTATATATGAATGTTCTAATGTAACCTGAAGTGTAATGAGGACTGGCCAATTTGGATGACATTTTGCATGGTCTGGCAAAGGAGAAAGAGAGATTAATAAGGGGTAAAATAGGCAAGGGATGAGGAACAGAATGAGCAAGATAAACTGATTGACTAACAAAACAGAGAGGTTTCTGAAAAGTCAAACATAAAAATTGCTACAGCCCATGTCCAGGTTGGCCAAGATACACACAACGGCCTTGGCAGCATTACACTGATAATATTTTTGCAAGGTGGAATTATTGCTGAACAGTATTTTAGTGTATTGGGCACAAACATACTGATGTTTTTATTAAGTGTCAAGCATGTATTTGTTCCTCTTTTGCCTGCAAGAAAAACATCTGCTGCTGTTCATTAAAAGAAATTCCCACATGATTTCTATTTGTGTTTATGTGAGTGTCAACTGTACACAACTGTAATATTTTCTGCATGTGTGTGCGATGTTCCTGCTGTGCTGAGGTCTGCCAGGGGTGGGTTTAACAGGCAACGGGGAGGGCAGCACAGCCAGGGTCAGTGTCCCTGTGCTGGATCACAGGTTTGTGTAGTTCTTCACAGTCTGCATCCACTTCTACCATGAAACATCTCACTGAGACCATCACCTCGGCAGCAATGAGAAGGCTAATGGTATATAATATAATGTAATATAGTACGATATAACACAACACAGCACAACACAACACAATATACCGTACCATACCATACCATACTTTGGGGGCTGAAGGTAGATTTACATCTGTTGCCATTTAAGGATCACGTACCTGTCATGCAAAAGGCACACGTCCTTCACACAACTCAGCAGTGCTATCGTAGATAACAGAAGACCAAACCTCAAGTTCCTCTGCCATGGAGTCAGACACTGACCACTGGTATGCACTCGATACAAATTGCGCTAGAACGTTCTTCTTGTTCACACGATTCTAAATGGGAAAAAGGCAGCCCGTCTCCCTGACCACAGCGGGAGGCTGTGCATCATCCAGGCAGTTACACAAGTTGTTTGCTGGAAACCCTAAGAACTCAGAGAGGCCACACAGACATTCACACTCTCAGGTCTGTGCATGAGTGTGTGAAAACAAATAAATATGTTCGTAGGTGTACATGTGAACTTAGATTTTTGAAGATCCCCGGTGATAACATTAAAATACAATACTCTTAGAAGAAAGCTATAGGAATTACCAAAGGGAGTCAGACAATTTATTGGTATACAGAGTTCACGAATTAAAATTTCTTAGCCTTTAATAACACTGGGTGATCACTGTTGAAGATTACTTGGGAAGCAGTGTGACCTAATAAATAGGGCATCTGCACAAGTAATGAAGCACTGGTTTTGTTGTAGTCAGCAGAAAAAGTTCAGGGGCCCATTTTTGAACTTCAGCCTTACACCTGGGTTGGTGTTTTCCTGCAGTACAACTTTCACTATTTTAAGGGCGCACTCCATTTCACCCAGTTCCTTATCCAGATCCTTAGTTAGCATCTTAAACTTAAGAACATCAGAAAATCCTTTTTTCACTGTAAACTGTGTTTTACAATTCATTAAGTAGTGTTAGACTGTAAGACATACTTCCAAATTCTTGCTTTTAAAACTCATCTTAATTATCACAAACAATCTCAAATGTGCTGAGATGCAACCGTAATTTGGATTTCAACTCCTTTTGAATTTCACCTGTAATACATTGACTGCAAGGCCTGGATGACAAATTCCAGGTTACAGTCTGCCAGAGGGAAGAAGGGTGCAGGAAAGGGCAAATGAATTACCTGAATGTCTAAGTAGGGTTTTTGCATTTATAAAGGCCACTAACTATAAAGAGAACCAGTGAACAGTAGTTGCAGTATTTAGCTTCAGGCTCTTTTTAAAGTCTCATGTGACAAAAATCATGGAAATTTCCTTTTTCCTGACCCATACAAAATTATTCTTTTTTTTTTTTTTTTTTTGTCCTTGCAGTGTTAATTGGAAACAGTAAGCACTAAATACAACAACCAATAAAACAAAAGACTCTGACCAACTACAGAGAGCAGATGGAGGCCTCTGCACACATGGAAACACGTTTCAATTGCAAATGGAAATGAATAAATGTTATGAAACCTCATCAGTTGTTAGCACAATTCCGACTCCTTTCAAGTCAATCACAAAACCAGTGAATGTCAATGAGAGCTGTGTTTTACTTAAATAAATCATGTCAAAAACTGACACGAATATTTGCACAGATTAGCAGCCAGGTACATTTACTTTTTCCATCCTGCCTGCTGCACATGATGTGCTGGCTGGGAGCTGGCTGGGGAAGGGCTTTTCCTCTGTTCAGTTCAGTGCCAAAGAGCACTGCACACACCTGAAGCATTGTGTAAATAATTAAGGCAAATTACAGCATAATCTGGAACAGTAGCCCAAAAAGAGCTGTTTCATGGGAGAATGTGGGTTTTTTTGTTAATAGGAAGCTATTTTCAATTACTCCTGGGCTGCGAAAGCCCCTGTGAGGTTTTCCTCTGTTTGATTTGGCTGCTCTCATTTACACTGTTGTTCTCAACCTTGCTTTTTGCTGTGTTTTGAATCA